GTCTGCGTGGTCTTGCACATAAGATACCTCCTTTACTGTACCTCAGAGCCACCTTGGCTCTGAGATACAGTAACCCACGCACCAGCTTGTCCCACAGACCTGTCCTTGCCTTGGTGGGGAAGGAGTCCTCAGGGATGTGGTGGGGGCATGGGATGTCAGGTAGTGTTACATCTGAAGCCTTTCTATTCATAACTTCTGACTCCTGAACTCACAGGAAGTGAGCTGTCAGTTCTTATAGGCCATTGGGCAGAGGACCCTCCCCAGACTGTCCCTTAGGGATTACCTAATCCCTTGAGTGCCAGGATTTCCCCAAATCAGGGATTACAAACTGAGAGAGCAACTAATATATGGGTTAAAATAACTTTTCCGTACTTAATCCCATTTTCACCGTCATGGTGATGGATACCGGGAACATTGTAACCATGGCTCCCCAGGCCCCAGTCAATGATCCTGATTTATTTCCCCCTCCCAGGCATTGAAGCAAGCTGAAGGACCTGGTACAGAGGGGACATGGGTCCTTATCCTCACTCAGCGAAATCCTGTACACCTTGTCCGAGGTACACATGGGCCCTCTTGTCTCGCCTGCTTGCTGTAATGATGGGTTTTGGCTGAGGAAGATGGGGAGAGCGAGCTCATCCTTCTCTGTGATGACACCCCCACCCCACATTTATCTTTCTAACTCCCTTCCCACATACACCAGTGTTTGATCAGTATCAGCGGTGCACCGGGAGTGAGTTGGAGCACACTGTCCGGAACCGTTTCCATGGAGATGCCCAGATGGCTCTGCTCAGCCTAAGTAGGGGCCTGCTCAGGACCCGTGGGTAGGGGTCTCCCTGGAACTGGAGCTACCTCTCTCCATCTCTCCCTCTTTGCTTCCAGCCTCGGTGATCAGGAACACAGCCCTGTACTTTGCCGATAAACTGCATCAAGCCCTCCAGGTGAGAGGGACACTCCTTTTCCTCCTCCCTGAGGAGCAAAAAGTGGAGAAGATACTTCCTGGGCAAGAGAGAGGGAGTTTCGTGCTGCTGCTATGCTAATGTGACAATCTCATGTTTACTTTATAAACATATCGCAGCTCTCAGGTGCACTGACTATCTTGTCGAGAGTAGAGGAGCAAGCTGTGGGTGGACAAGTAAGCTAAGAGTTGACCCTAAAGGGCACTCAAGCTAAAATTTTGACCTGATTAATGTCTAGGTGGCCAAATATAGATATGAATTTGCTCTGGAAGACAGCGCCTTGCTGGTCTCAGTGCCAGAATAGCGATAGTGACAACACCAGCAAGAATAATGATGAGAACCAGCATTTCGTAGATGCTCACGGTGTGCCGGGAACTGTCTGAAACGTTGCACGTGTTCCCATTGATCCCCGTTTTACAGAGGAAAGACCAAAGCACAGAGAGGTTAGATACCTTGTCCAAGGCCACACAGCTGTTCAGGCACATGTTCTCAACACAACACATGATGGTCCCAGAGGCCACTGAACTGCCACATGTCAGCTCCTGGTCTGTACCACAGGTGTTGGTCTATACAGTCCCATCCCGTTTTATTGTGCTCATAGATACTGAGTTTTTACAAATTGAAGGTAAGACCCTCCACCAGCAAAAAGATTCGAGCTCACTAAAGGCTCAGATGATAGTTAGCATCTTTAAGCACTAAAGTATTTTAAAATTAAGGTGTATATATTGTTTCATTAGACCTAATGCTCTTGCACACTTAATAGACTACAGCATGGTGTAAACATAATTTTACTATGAACTGGGAAACCAAAGAAACTCGTGTGACTCACTTTATTGTGATATTCGCTTTATGATAATGGTGTGGAATCGAACCTGCAACACCTCCAAGATACCCCTGTAACTCTGCCATAAGTGTTCTTAGCACTTAGGACTGCCTTTCTCCACACTGGTCACACTTGGTTCCATATTATTCATAATTAAATTGGTCACATTGGCTGTTTGAGTAATTTCATAAGCAGAGTCTAGTCATTTTGCTCATTGAGCCAGGTCTCCCAGTAGTAAGTACAACTGTCCCCCCAAACAAATAGCCTTTAATATTTGAATAATATAAAAATGGAATAACTCTTTGTATAATGGTTGAGAAACCATCATGCCTTGTTGACAGCTATTCAAAAGACAGTACCAAAAAAAAACCCAAAACAAAGTACCAACCAAAGACAGTACATATAAGCACTCGTTTTATCATCTAGAGATTTCCATTTTCACAGTGATGACTATACTTACCCAGCAAAGCCTGCACTATTACAATGAGTTGACACTCAGCGTCACTTGAAGAGCTGTGGTTACCTAATTTACTGCTGTAAAACAAACTTTTACTCCAGCAGTGAGTAATTGTGATGTACGTATTTGGATACAGGACCCACTTTCTTGAATATAATCACCAGACTTATCTTAGAAGTGGGAGTCAAAAAATAATATAGGCCTATTTTTCTGAAACCTTTTTTAAAAAGCAAAAAGTCCTAAGAATAGTTTGCCACTCAGATGCCAAGTACCTTCTCAAGTACCAAGTCTAGGCTTATGTTTAATATACATTTGGTGTGGAGGGATCTTGTGTGTCAATGGGAATATTCAGTTAATGAGTGACTCTTGTTCCAATTCTACAACTTTGGAATCACAAGAATTGGAAGAAGGGAAGAATGGAGACCGGGGAGCAATAGGCAATCATTATCACAATACAAAACAGATGATACATGAAATTTAAAATGAAGTAGCCACCAGCCCAGGCTAGTGTGGCTCAATTTTTGCAGTGTTGACCCTAGACCAAAAGGTTGCATGTTCGATTCCTTGGTCAGGGCACATGCCTGTTGCAGGTTTGGTCCCTGGTTGGAACACATATGAGAGGCAACTGATCAATGTTTCTCTCTCACACAGATGTCTCTCCCCGGCCCTCCCTCCCTCCCTTCCCCTTTCTAAAATGAATAAGCATGTTCTCAGGTGAGGGTTAAAAAAATTAAGTAGTTATCAGGCCCCCTGACAATTAGGTAATGAATCCATTCTCTTTTTACTTCATCATTTTTTTTGTTTGTTTAATCCTCACCTGAGGATATATTTATTGATGAGAGAGAGAAACATCGAAGTAAGAGAGAAACATCCATCAGTCACCTCCAGTACACACCCTGGCCTGAGTGGGGATTGAACCGGTGCCTTGCATTTGCCACCCATGCCCTAGATGATGCATATTCCTCTTTCGCCTTGACTGTCACTTCACCCCCACTTTCTAGAATCTGTGAGAATCTTACTGCCACCCCACCCCATTCCATTTCTTCCTCTACCAGGAAACTGAGCCCAATTACCAAGTCCTGACGCGCATCCTTATCTCTAGAAGTGAGACTGACCTTCTAAGCATCCGAGCCGAGTTCAAAAAGAAATTTGGGAAGTCCCTCTACTCTTCCCTCCAGGTGAGAGCTTCACCCTTCGTCTCCCCACTGCATTCCCTGCACGCAGCTGAGCATATGTCCTGGGTAATTCATGAGTCTTTGGTTAATTTAGTGTAAGACTCCGAGCACCAGACAAGCTCTGGATCAGCACAAGGGAGGGGTCCGCGTGCCTGGGCTACGGAGCTAAGGGCCTTTCTGACACTTGATTCTCTTGTCTGCAGGATGCGGTGAAAGGGGACTGCCGTCCAGCCCTACTAACCCTGTGCAGGGCTGAAGACCTTTGAAACCACCCGGCCCCTTCGTCCCCACAGACAGTCAGGGATCTGAGATTCCATGTTTGGCTGAGCCTGCAGGAGACCAGCTGGGCCAGCAAATAGAATTGCATCTCATGTTTGAGCTTCTGGTTGAGGCTAGAACTCAAAGTTTTCTTTTAAATCCTTTAATTTCTCTCATCTCAAAGTGATACTTGCTACAGTGGTCAGTTGTACTGGCTGTGAAAGCATTCACAAAGGAGAGGAAAGTGTAAAGAATAAAGTTTTTATTCACTCTCCAAGAAAAGAGAGGGGCATGGTATGGAGAGATGCACTAGCCTTGAGGGGTGGAGGCTTTGAGCTTTTATTGGATTATAATTGGTTTTAGAAGTGTGGGGAGGGGGTGCTGTTGTGAGGCCCCTGGGCCGTTGGGGCTGTTGTAACAGGAGGCTGCAGTTTGTTCTGATGTTATCTTCTGCCTGGGGCTGTAGGGAGTGGTTCTTGTGTTGCTTCCAGTAATTCCCAGTCCTAGGGACAAGCTCAGAAGAGTAAAATGGCAGTCATGTTTAGTAAGGTCACAAGCACGCTAGGTACCTGGTGCCGCAACAGCGAATGGGGCTGGCCTTGTTCTTTCAATGCCTGCACCTGAGCCTAGCTCGGTCTTAGATGTGGGTTAGTAGGAGCTCCTGGCTAGTTTCTGCCCTGCCTCATCCTTCCCATACCCTCCACAGAACATCTCACTGCCATTGGTAGTCTTTAGCCAACTTCATTCTTGTTTGTGTTCCCTGATTGAAGTTTGGGTGGAGCAGGACGTGGGTGGGGAGGAGGCCTCGAAGTAGACGTGCGCTGGGTTACTCGACGGGAATCCTGTTTGGGGCTCTGGTGCTACAGTTATCAACAACCCTGCTCCCTCAGGGGTGTTCCTCCAGTGCCCTCCCCCCATTATTCTCTCTTCTCCAGGAAATTTTAGGCAAAATAATTGAGGAACAGGAATCAGAACAAGGCCAGAAATGGTCAAAGGTAGCAAAGGACCATCTGTATAAACTGGGAGGCAAGCAGAGGATCAAGCTGCCTCTGTCCTGTCTGGGAAGTCTTGGGGTAGCAGGGAGCACAACCCCCCAATTTTTCTCTCCAAAGAGAGAACCCACCTCCAAATTAGAGAACTATTTCCCAAAGATGGCCTATCAAAAAACAGATCAACAAAAGCAAGGAAAAAGCAAGCTGTGGTTCCCCCTGCTGGCTGTAGTAGATGTGACAGGCAAGCCCGCACACCTCTTTCCCCTCCCTCCCCTTTTGCATTCCTCCATTGGGTCAAGTGCTTAACCCCATTGAAACAGGGTAAGGACAAACAACACATCTCAGGAAACAAGTTTTATTTCCAAACCTCTAGGAAGGCATTACAAATAATGGAGATAGAAATCCAAATCAAATCCTGAAATAAGGCGGACCTGCAGGATGGCCAGAAGGACCCAGCCAGTCAGGGTGGGAAGTCAGGTAGATGCTGTCTAGACAGGGACCTTGCCCTGGAGCCTGAGTCTCCATAGTAGTGTGATACTCTGGGAAAGGGGAGCTGGGAACCAGAAATCCTCGACCCACCAGTCCCACCGTTGCCCTGGGTGACTGGGAGGGACAGAAGCTGCAGCACTTGAGGGCAAGAATGTCGCTGAGTTTGACCTTGACATTTACTGCCTGCTCGGATCCCCAAAAGTCCATAAATAAGTTACCCTGCATATCTCAGGGGCTGACCTGGGGGACCAAGCAAAGTAGCCACAGCCTCTAAAAGGAGAGGCAGGGCAGCCCGGCACGGGGAAGCGCTAAAGGAGGACACAGTCGGACTCTGGCTTCGGCCTCCGCCGGCGCTCTCCAGCTGGGCGTCCAGGTGGTGCTCCTCTCGCCTGTGTGGGATTTAGCAAGTGGTCATCCATTTGAACGAGTTTGAATGAGCACAAGGACAGAGTCTAGATGGAAGCGGGGTTAGGACTGGGAGGGGCAGCGGGGAGAGAGAGATAGGAAAGGACCTGGACAAGAGAAGGGCCCCCAGGGAAATCTTGAAGAGAAAACTGCAGGAATAACAATAACCAGTGTCTGGGCCAGGAGGAGCAGGGGTGCAGCATCCGGCAGGTAGAGCAGTGAGGAGCAGCAAGCGCTAAGGGCTCACCTGGGGCGATGGGGCCCTTGCTGGCACAGGCTGGACCCCTTGTTGCTGTTGGTACTCCTCTTGCTGAAGTTGCTGGGCCAGCTCCAAGTCGCTAAGCCCCAATGCGCCTTGAGGCTGCTGCTGCTGCAGGGACAGAGCGATGAGGTAGTCCTACACAGAGGGAAAGAAAGCACAGGGTCATGAGGTGGGCTGTGACCTGGGAGATATTCCGGCTAGGTTTAGTTTCCAAACCAATTTTTCCTCATCCTTCAACTTCTCCGGTTCTCCTTCCTCCAGAGCAGCACACACAGCCAAGTGTATTTCGGTGGTGACAGAGAATACACACCAAGCATGGAGATGGTCCCAAGGTAACAGAGCAAAGGGGCACAGGTGTCCGATGTTACTATCTCTAGATGAGAACAGTGCATGCAGCTGGCCAATGCCAGAAAGGTCCCTAAAGTGGACGTACTCTACACCCTTCCCAAAAGTCACACACACACCTGGTCGACCTGCCGCTGCTTTTCTGGGGAGCCACTCCCACCTTCTGCTCCAGGCCCCTTGCCCAGGGAGTGACTTAGGTGAAAGTCAGAGTCACAGAAGCAGCTGTCCCCATCCACATTGTGCAGGCTCTCCCATACCACTTGCTCCTCCTGCAGAAAGCCCTGGTCAGTGACCAGTAAATACAGGTGACTCTGCAAGGAAGACGACAGCGCTAATGAGCAGGATAGGCGACAGGGAGGCAGTTTGCTGCCCAGAATCACCTGAGATGCACAGAGACCATTTGACCCAATTGGTGTACCAGCAGGAATGTGTCAGTGTCGGAGCTCGTGGCTCTGGGAATGCGGGTGGCTGAGGGGGGCGGGAGGGGACGTCTGAGCGTATGGTCGCTGGGTGGGAGTATGGCAGTCACTGTGGCCAAGCACGGAGTCCTCAGAGCTGGGGTCCCACATGAGATCATGCTTCTACTCCACTTCCCGTTGTTCTCCAGGCTTGCCCGGTGCTCATGAGGATAAATCTATTGAGAACCAAAGGCCCCTCCCTCTCCTCTCAATTCCTAGATGGCTTACATAATTTCTAACTTGGGAAGACCATAGCATTGTTCAAAAATTCCATTCTGCCCTGGCTGGTGTGGCTCAGGGGACTGAGCACCGGCCTGCTAACCGAAAGGTCACAGGTTCGATTCCCAGTCAGGGCACACGTGTGGGCTGCAGGCCAGGTCCCCAGTTGGGGGCGTGCAGGAGGCCACCAATCGATGTATCTCTCACACATCAATGTTTCTCTGCCTCTCTTTTTCTCTCCCTTCCTCTAAAAATAAATAAAATCTTTAGGGAAAAAAAAATCCCTTCCCAGGAGAGGATTATACTTTCTTGTCCCACTGATAGCAGGCTTTTTCCCTTAGAGCTTGCTCTGGCCAATGAGATGTTAGCAGAAATGACACGTGTCATTTCAGGCAGAAGCACTAAACCTGAGTACACAGCGTCCCTCTTACATTCCAGATAAAGGCTGTTTTGTTGGCCTGAGACCCAGAGTGAAGACAATGGGAGGCAGAGCTACAGCCTGCAGCGGACGCGCAGCATGAGTGAGACGTAAACCTACCCTGTGGCTTTAGGGATTTTAGGGCTCATTTGTTACCAGAGCCCAATCTACCCTGTCCCGACTGCAACACTGACCTGGAAGAAAAAGGGATGAGAAAATAAACAGCACTCCAACCCTCCCCCACCTCCACTGCCTCGTCACCTTGTGCTTAGTCATAGTGCTAAAGTGGTTGTTTCGGAAAAAGACGCTAAGTTCACCCTCCTTGGCAGCTGCGGTGAGCTCACACAGTCCGTGGTAGGTCAGCTGGGCTGCAGTGGTCTCCAGGAACTGTTCTGCAATCAGACCTGCCAAAGGGCACAAAGCGGGGTGGGGCCTGGGCTTAAATCCAAAGGCCACAGAAAGAAGGATCATCCAGAGAATCCCTGCCCAAAGGTCTGGGGGTGATCCCACCTTGTGAAACTGGTCCGCTGAAGCCTGGCTCTATTCATTCATTCAACAAATAGTTACTAAGCTGCCACCTTGTGCCAGGCGCTGCACTAAGAGTACACATCAGTTAACTGACGCTGTTCCCCAAACCCCCTCTCATGGCATTTACGTTCTCATGGGATGTGGTGGGGGGAGACAGACAATGAACAATAAATTTAAGTAGCTACCATTCTATCGACATAAGATCCACGGGAGAGAAGGGTGGGACCTCACCTTCTGTTACGAGGTTGGGGTCGCTGGAGTGCTTGCAGGTGATGATCTTCTCTACCAGCTGATTGTAACTCAGCTTCCCAACTGCATGCACAGCGTCAGGACTCTGCACGGGCAGTGGGGCGGGTGGCACAAAAAAAACTCGGATCTTTTTAGGAAGGAAATGATGACCCAAGCTCACAAGTACTGCAACCCTACCACCAAAGGTTCCTGAAACTTTTGATGTCTAAAGAACTACAAATGATTTACTTGTATTTGAATGTTACCAAAAAATTTTTTTCTTAATTCAAGGAATTCTCCATTGGATCCTGCTTCTATACCTGATTCCTCTCCCAAGCCAACCTAACCCCTACCTTCCTAACCCCCATCTCCCTAAGCCATACCCCACATAATTATGCTTCTCTGTCAGCTTGAACTGGGTTAAGAGTCTCATTTGGGCCCTGTCGCCCTCACCTGTGGATCAACAAGCCAGCCATGGTACAGAGGTATCCCCAGTAGGTCAAAGATACTGCACTCAGGTGTATACTCAAAATCTGAGACACCTGTGAATCGCACATTGACATCTAGGCCTGTGGCCAGTTTAGGCAGCACTGTCATTGCATCGTCCACATTCTGGAGGCAGAAGAGAAAACGATGGGTGTGTTAAGTCAACACATTGTATATCTTAAACATACGTGATGTTATATGTCAATTATATCTCAAAGAAGGTGGGGGAAGAAAATGATGGTCTAGCCTGCCCTCCCCCCATTCCACTTCCACCCCCAGAAGTAAAAAATTACTCTGGTTGCTTTTCATCCCTCGTTCCCTTCTACGCCATTCCATTCCTACCCCTGCCTCAACCCTTCTTCATCTTATACAATGAACATATTTTCTAGGACAGAGATTTACCCTCCTCTTCCTCCTGAAGAAAGGAATCATGGTTTTAAAAACCCTCTTTTATAAAAAAAGATTTTATTTATTTATTTTAGAGAGAGGGAGAGGGAGGGAGAAAGAGAGAAAGAGAAACATCAAGTGGTTGCCTCTAGCACGTCCCCAACCAAGTACCTGGGTACCTGGCCCACAACTCAGGCTGGTACCCTGACTGGGAATTGAACCAACAACCTTTCAGTTTGCAAGATGACGCCCAACCTACTGAGCTACACTAGACAGGGCACCAAGGAACCCTCTTGAGAAGCAGCAGAATGATGTCTCTTAATAGCTTAGCTGTCCCTTTACAAGCCTGTAAACCTCTTTGTCTGCAGACCATTTGCTTACCTGCTGAAAATTAAGCTGAAGTCCTTCTGATTTCTCCTGGGGCTTGATGGACAGGAGGCAGTCTCCTGTAAGACAGGATTCTTTATCAGCCTACCCCCAAGTTATCCCCAAAGCTGCTTCCTCTTCTCCTGGAGGACGGATGGGGTGATGAACCACAGCTTTTCAGAGCTGGAAAGGGCCTTAGAGTCTAACCCTGACCTTTCATTTCTCAGAGGAAGAAATAGGCTCACAAAGATGAAGGGCCCACCCAAGGTCACATGTGAAAGGTAAGTACAGAATTGGGGTTACAACCCAGGACTCCTGACACCATGACTTTTGCTTTTCACGGCCCAGCCTTACAGAGATGCCCCCGAGACCTTCACCCTGACACACCAGAGCCCCTAATGGGAAGTCCCTCAATATTTCCACCTGAGCGGAGAGCGCCTCTAATTGTGTGTGATTCCTCTTCGAGGCCCAGTCACTCACCGAGATGGGCCATGAGCTCATCTGATGTGATCACTTCCTTCTGAGGGGGCAGCTTCACCTGGAGGCAGAGAGGTGATCAAACGGTCGGCCATGAGTGTGCCTCCCTGCCCAGAGCACAGAGGGAGAAACCCGTAGAAAGGCAGAAGCGGGGTGTGGTGCAAAGAGGCTTGCAAGGCGAGCAGGGGAGTGAATGTGAAATGCCCGGAGGCCTTGATTTGCTAGAAAGAAGATACAGGAGCAGGACAGAATGATTTTTGTTTTTATGAGCATATTGTCTCATTGGTTCAAGCTGAAGAGATAGGGAGAGTAATCTGGAAAGTTTTGACTGTTTTGGGAAAATCAGGATGACCAAGGAGGTGGGTCAGGGGAGAGTCCTCTCCCCGACACTTTCTCTGAGCCCAGCCGAACTCCCTCTTACCTTCCACTGGAGAAAGAGGATGTTCATGATGGCGAGGAGAGGACAAGGGCCGTTAGAGCTCTGGGTGATGATGGGTGTTCTTGCTCCCTTCCAGGGGATCCACTTCACACAGTAGAAATCCAGCTCGGGCTGTCGGGCCCTGGGGGACTGGGGAAGCTCCTGGGGCCCGGAGTGGGCCCCCACTGTCTCTGCTTCAGGTGGTGTCTGGTGGGATGGCCCCAGCTGGTTTGAACTAGCGTCAGGTGGAGGGGACTCACGTTTATCCTGGCCCTGCTCTGGCAGCGACCCTTGATCTTCTGGCTCCTGTTCTCTAGCTGCCCCATCAGCCTCTCTAGCCACCTCAACAGCTTCTCCGGCCACCCCATCAGCTTCTCTGGCCGCCCCAACAGCTTCTCTGGTTGCTCCATCAGCTTCTCTGGCCGCCCCATCAGCTTCTCTGGTTGCTCCATCAGCTTCTCTGGCCGCCCCAACAGCTTCTCTGGCCGCCCCATCAGCTTCTCTGGCCGCCCCAACAGATTCTCTGGCCGCCCCATCAGCTTCTCTGGCTGCCCCATCAGCCTCTCCAGCATCCTTGTCCTGGTGGTGCTCTTCTAGCGCTGATATCACATTGTGGTTTTCAGGGCTGACTGATTCTGCAGTCCTGGTCTTGACAGAGATTGGGTTCTCAGGTTGATGGTGTTCCATGGTCAGAAGAGGTCAACTGGGGGGGCACCAAAGGACTTTATAGTCCTCAGGGAGTTGCCTAGTCTAGGCTTGAACTGCAAAAAAGAGACCATCCAATAAGAAGGAAATCATTGGGCTGGAAAGTAAATAGGCCCAGAAAAGTCTTAGAAAAGGAATGTGGTGTGGAAGGCTGGATACTGTCCGCACCCACTCCTGGCTGGGGAGATTAGTGTCTCTGTCAGCTTGGGTAAACAGAAGAGCAGCCCCAAGCTGTGCCCTTTCACCTTTAACTTGCTGTGACCAGATGGGGCCAAGGAGTGTACTGGGCTTTCAGGTTTGACAGGGACGATTCCAGTGGGATTGAAGACATCGGGTGGAGTCAGCTTCCCTGAAACAGATAAGGACAAGGAATGCAGAAAAGACAGAGAAAGGGAGAATGAAAGGAGAAAGACAACAGGGAAAGAGATGGAGAAAGAAATGTTAAAATTATGCTAATGGCTATTAACATGGCGTTCTTCAGCTCGCTTTGTAATAGGTATCACGTTGATAGCCCCCCCTTTGGCCCAGACGGAGGTAATTCCTCCAGCCCTACACCAAGCCCCACCCCTTGGCTGTTCGTGGATCCTGCTGCGCACACAGGCTGCTTGTGTCCTTAGGGCTGCCTTTCTCTGCCTCATGCAGGGGCGGAGAGGTGAACAGTCACACCATGCTTGGTGGGAAGAGTGGAAAGGTGGAGGGTCTGCACCATGCCCCTAAAGATGAAACACCATTGAGAAAGAAGTCCTCCTCAAAGGATTTCATTGAGCTTTACACAATCTCAAACCACAACAAAAAGGTCTTGGGAGGGGCTTCCTGTAGGCCAGAGAGGGGAAATGTAGGCTCTAGGGGCTGGAATCAGAGATTGTGCTAATAAATAACTTCAGGTTAGGAACACAAAAAGCACTGCCCCCTGCAAATTTTTCCAGTAAGCTTCTCTGGACAGCTGGAGTTGAGACGCCAACTTCTGCTCTGTTCCTCTTTGCTCCCAAACCCACCTTAATTCACAGATACTCTCTTCCACTAGGTAAATGGAATATAAAAATGCTGATTATTGATTTACATAAAAAATCCTCTACATTCATTTATGTGTGCGTATGTTCTTTCTGTCTATTCCCATCTAGGTCATTTTATTTTTTTTTAATATTTTATTTATTTATTTTTCGAGAGAGGGGAAGGGAAGGAGAAAGAGTGGGAGAGAAACATCAATGTATGGTTGCCTCTCATGCATCCCCTGCTGGGAACTGGCCTGCAACCCAGGCCTGTGCCCTGACTGGGAATCGAACCTCGATACTCTGGTTCGAAGGCCCGCACTCAATCCACTGAGCTATGCCAGCCAGGGCCCCAACTAGGTCATTTTAGACGTGAACACTGGACCTGTTTAACCTGCCCTTCGCTGGCACTAAACATCAAGTTCAGCAGGGATAAACATTCAAATAATGCTGTGGATAGTAAACCATAAAAAACCACAAACCCTGCCCTTTGGAAAACATCTGCCATCTGGAAAACATATTCCCCTCACCCCTGACATGGTAAGAAAAGGTAAGGAATTAAACTTGTCAGAAATCGTGTCTTTTCTCTGGCTTCTTCCTCATTTGAGACCACGCTTCCTGTAATCCTGGAGGAATTCAGGGCAAGGGTAAGGCCTGGGAGATGAAGCTGAGGAACATAAAAGTTAATGCAATAAGCCTAGTCACTCAAATTGATCATCCTCCTGATACAAACGTAATTTATGCTAAACACATCTCATTTGCATTTTGTTAATTTAGAATCAGAGTAGCAGAAATTGCTTACAGGCCTGATACTGTTTTTCTCTCTTTCCTTCTTTCTTTGCCTCCCAAATGACACTTAGGATGAGCCTGGGAAAGTTTAAACAGCTTGGAGAAAAGCAGGGCTCATTTCTTATCTTCTCTGTACAATGTCAGAAGTGATCAATAATGAAGTGGGGGCTGTGCAGCTGCTTGTCTAGGGGGATGAGCCAAATTAAACCAGGAGCTGGACACGGGAGGGAGCTGGGTCTTAGGAAAACTAGGGAAAGCTAAGTGGCCTAAGTCTTAAGAGGAGGGACAGGAAACAGAATGGAGGGTTTCCACCTATAAGGTGCACACCTGGTGGGGTGGGGCACGGGGTGTTTCAGAGCAGCAAAGGATGAGGGGAGGGAGCTCAGACAAGTCAGGACTCCATTCTTTTCCCCAGTTCAAGTCCTACACATTGTCTCCAGCAGGAATTATCTCTGGTTAAGTGTGAGGGAGTTAAAATAGCCCTGGCTCCTCCCTGGCAGTGGCTTTGAGTAGCCAAAAGTTGGAAGAAGCCTATAAAAAGGGTAGCTAGCTTCGATAACCCCCCACCCCCCACTGCCAAGGAACTTTCCTCCCTGCAAGTCCCTTACTGTCCCACTCCATTCTCCTTGTCAGTCTGACCCAGATCTTCAAGCAACTAATGGTTTAAATTGTTCCCTTGGAATAAGTCAACCAGCACTACAGTGTCTGCTTGTAATGGGGCGGGGGAGGGTTCGTTAAAAGCAGAAAGTGAAGGGACCAAGCAGCACCCTCTTTACACAGTCCCCTGCTTCGCTGCTCCCAGGCCAGACCTGTGGAGACCAGAGGTGGAAGGACAGTCAGTGTCACCTCCCCAGAGATGGAGAGGAAAAAGCGAACAGGGGTAGGAGAGGAGGTGAAGGAAATGGGTAAAACAAAGTTTTTTTTTTTTTTTACCTTAAAGAAGGTTGTTCCAGGACTCAGGAAGGTTCCGCTCGGCAATTGGATGGGGCGGTGGGTACAAGGAGGGGCGCGCCACAGTCCCAGCTGCCTTCCAGCTGTCAACGCCAGAGCTTTTACAGGTTTACCAGCGTCGGTCCTGGCCAGGTCCTGGCCACTTCCGGACTCATGTCCAGGATCCAGGGCAACGGAGGAGGGCGAGGGCAGGCAGGGGCGAAGCCCAGGTGCTCCCGGCTTGCTCAGAGCCTGTCTTCAGGATTCTTGAGTCCCCGAGTCTAGGGCGTGCGCTCCAGGCCCTGACTCCAAACTGGTTTTCGAAGGGAGTTTAAGGTAATTCTTTTCCCTTCTTTCTTTCTCCCTCTCTTTTCCTCCCTTCAGGACAAAGAAAAATTAGTCAAGGACAGCCTCCCTGGAGGAGGAGGGGCGTGCCCAGCACTGGAGGATTTCTATCAAGGCTTTCTGACCTGGTCAGCAGCTTGGTGATCAGCAGTGGAGGAGAGAGAAACACGGAGAGAAAAACAACAGACCCTTTCTCTTCGCTCTGCCTGTCGCTGGAAGGGCCGGAGCGCTTGTGCCTCTCTGGTGAGAATAGGGAAGAGCAAGTGCCCTTGCTGGGTGGGGAGGAGCCGCGCTGGACAGCAGCAGCGCGTTGAATTTGGGCTTTCTCCCTGGGTAAGGCAGTCCTTTGCTCTGGATCCACAGAAGCAGGGCCAAAGAGCAAGAGATTTGCATGTTCAATCACTTAAAGTTAAAAAAAAAATTCTGCTTCTTTCCAAGTCCTCACTCTTTTTTTTTTTTTTTTGTCTAGAAACGAAACTGGTTGGGCTATGCCCCTGGTAGTGCAGAAGAAGGTGTGGAAGAAAGCCCAGACTCTGGGAAGAAGAATGCAGCAGAGAGAGAAGTAGCTGAGCAAGCAGGAGATCCAATACCCCTGGGCTCTAATCCTTGTTCCCACCACAGGCCTCAGCATAATCAGTCACCTCCTCTGAGCTCCTAGCTTGGGGAACAGGAAAAACTGGTGTCATTCTGGCGGTATGAGATAAAGGGATGGATTACTAAAGGAGGGAGCATTGGATGGGGAGAGTACATTTATTTGCAACACTCTACACTGCAGTGGGGCTGGAAAGTGGCAGTTAAAGGAGGTTGGGCCCCAACTCTGCATTCTGAAGAGCCCTCCAAACTCTACTTACAGGGCTGCCATAGGATGAAGCTTCAGGCAACTCTGAAGGCTGAAAGGGCACTTGAAACAATTAGGGAGGCAGAGAGCAAAGAACACAGGTTACAACAGTTCAGGAAAAGAATGAGGAGACATTTCCGAGGCTGCTTTGAAAACAGACCACAGAGTTTTAAAGAAAGGAGCAGCGGGAGTCGGTAAGAGACTGTAGGTATTAAGAAGAGGGTCCAAAGATTATTCTATTATTTTCACAACATGGACAATCACAAACTTGGTGCAATGGGTCAGTTTGCCAAACAGGAGAATTTGAGAAAGGAAGATGAAGAGGAGCTGTTTGGCGATGTGTAATTTAAGCTGTCAACCAGAGACTCGGTGTAATATATGGAAAGATGCTATACTTAGCCTGATTCGAAAGGGAAAAGTTCAGATGCCACAAAGGTAGGTCACTGTGACACATATACGTTTGTGTGTCAAATGAGTGCTTTCAGAAAATTCTCCCCTCAATTGTTGGAGCCATTTCGGAGCTTCTGAACTACATTTCCCAAGGCGCCCTGCGTGACGTCCCACTTGGCGCTGCGGCGAAGGTGTCCCGTGAGTCTCTGAGCGCAGAACTCCGCCTCCGCCTCTGGGGGCGGGACGACATCTGACTCCTGGAGCGCCCAATTACGCACTTCCTCTCGGGGTCTGGGCCGAATCGCCTTGTGGCGGGTTCGAGGCCCGCCTCCTGAATCTCGCCACTAGCCCCTGAGGCCGGGGCGGGGCGCATTCACCGGGTAACCGCTCCTCAGCGAGGGGCGGTGGCACGCGTTGGACTTCAGCATGGAGGACTACCTGCAGGGTTGTCGAGCTGCTCTGCAGGTAACCGACCCCTGTCTGTGATCGTAAGCAATGAAGAAGCATGGGGTCCAGGAAGGACGACGATGTGGGATGTGGGGAGGGTCCGTGTGGAAGGAACGTGGAATTGAAGGGTGGGGGCTTGGGATCTGTCAGGCTTGGGGCCTGAGGAGTGGGGGACGAAAATCTAGCCTCGAGGGTGGGTATGCTGCACAGTCTCCCGGTTTTTGGCCCCCGAGAGCGGGGCGGGGGATTCGTGGGTCTGGCTCCTGCGCCGGAGCCTCTGCTCGCTGTCGCGTGGGTCACTTCCGTGCAAAGATCCAAGGCTGTGCCGCCGCCGGGGGTGCCCCCCGAGGTGTATTTTTTCCTCCCCCTCCCCCGCCCTCTTTCAGTTTCTGCTCACAAGGGCTCCTTGACCCACTGGCCTCCAGGTGAACCCCGGGGGTCCGAGGAAACCTGTGCTCAGTGTTTTATTGCCTCCGAAAGGCGGTTTCTGTCTGGCGCTCCTGACCCGTCCTAGAGTGGAGGGGGTCGTGCTGTGTTCTTTTAAATCTGTTGTAAGTTAAACACACAATACATCTGTTGGCCTGCAGTTTGCGTTTCGTTGCCTCCAGTTTTCTTCCTTGGCCTTAGGAACAGAGATTAGATTCAAAATAAAAACAAAAAACAAAAATAAAACCGGCCGGAAGATAAGTACAAAGTGTTTGGAATCAAAACTATAAGCATGACTCTTGAATGCTTTGTGGCTTATTTTTGGTACTCTCTGAGCCAGTTGGAATCTTCCAGCCAGGCACCATTAGGCTGCTCTCCCCAGTTAGCAGCAAAAGCTGGCCAGAGAGGCTCCAGGAGGTCACCTGGCCCCCCTTCTTTAAGCTACTCTGCTGTAGAAACCTAGACGGATGGTTGGCTGTTCATTCCTTTATTAACTATCTTAAACTGTGAGAGTACCCCTGGGTTATAGATTCTGGTCTTTAGCAAATCCTAAAAGTCACCTGATTTCTCCTGCAGACAGCTGCTGGCATAAATTGATGACCTTACCTGAAGAGTAGGGGTGAAGTTCAATTTTAACACTAATTGTGAAATACAAATTTTGGGAAAGTTGTGTTTAATGCATAAGGCAATTTGGAGACAGTTCCTGTCTGTTACCTCCAATTTCCACCACAGGGAACTTATCTAGAGTCTTTGTGGTACCATTCCAAGTGCTGAGCAGTTGGGTCCCCGCCCACCCCCTTGCAATAACCCAAATGAATGGTCTCTTTCCCACCATTTGTTAAAGAGCCCTTGGAATTGAAATCTCATCAATAAAGATTTTATTTATTTATAGAGAGGGGAAGGGAGGGAGAAAGAGAAACAACGATGTGTGGCTGCCTCTCACATGCCCCCTACTGGGGACCCGGCCTACAACCCAGGCACGTGCCCTGGGTTGGGAATCGAACAGGCAATTCCTACGTTCACAAGCCCACCTGCAATCCACTGGGCTACACTAGCCGGCACTCATCAAGTAGCATTTCACTGAATGTATCTATCCTACATCATCTACTCTCCAGAGTACCACCCCACCCCCTTTCAGGTTTACAGTAGGTCTGCATCAGTATGAAGCTGAAAATACTGGGTTTTTCTAGTATTGCCAGTATCCTTTCTCTGCCTGAATTCATCCCCCAAGAAGAAAGATCTAGATCTTAATTTTTTCAGACTTGTGAGGATGAGCTATCTTAGAGCTCTCATCACGCAGCCTAGCCAGGGCCAGGAGAAATGAGAGGATTAGACTCTAGGAATTTTAGTGGGGAACTGGCAGCAGGACGTACAGGTGGACACCAGTAATTTACATTGCTTTGAATTACAGAGGTTGTAAATATAGATGCTGAAAAAATTCAAATACAAAAAGGATATGAAATGAAAAAGGTGGGTTTTTTTTCTTCTCCCCATCTAATTCCCCAGAGGCCACACTTGTTTCTTATGTAAAGTATAATTTGGAGATACTTAAATTTGAGTGTTTCAGTTAAACTTTCAGGGAATTGTGAATGTTTGGCTTTTGCACAAAGTAGAAATGGCTGATAACTCAGACAACTCACTTGTTGATACTGTATTTTTAGCATTAGATACCAGAGGAATTTTCTAGTCTCTGCCACAGTGATGGTAGGATAGTCCATGGAAAAGAAATCTTGACTTATCCCAAGTGGGGAGAAGATTTTGCTTTATGGTGGGGCTGCACTTAAGGTTAGGTGTTCATCCGGGAGCCTTTGGCTAACCTGTGCTGTCTGCATGTCTTAGGCATGAGGCAGGAACCAGGAGTGGCTGGCTTTCCCTAGAACTTTACTTACCATTGTAACATCTGCTGGGAGGGTTTCTCTGTCTCTGGTGGCTCATCTCTTTTTTTTCCCCTCCTTCATTAACTCTCTGGTAGTGCAGGCATCAGACCATATTCAGCTGCAGAAGGGAGTGGTTTGCTTTGCCAGCCCTGGAACCCATCCCCTCTCCCCCCATTGAGGCCACAGGGATTGTCGGGGTAGAGTCATTTCAAGTCATTGTTTTAATCCTTACCCAAATACATGCTTGTTGATTTGGGAGAGAGAGATGTGAGAGAGAAACATTGATTGGTTGCCTCCTGCACATGCCCCGTCTGGGGATCGAACCCACAACCCAGGTGTATGTGCCCTGACCAGGAACTGAACCTGCAGACTTTTGGTGTACTGGATGACGCTCCAGCCAACCAAGCGATCTGCCCAGGGCTGTTTGTTTGTTTGTTTGTTTGTTTGTTTTTTAAGAAAAAAAGTATTTACTTGTTGCTCTCAGATTGTATTTCTTCCATTGGCAGCTTAGGTTTCCTCATGCTCTAAGTATAGCTATATTTGCTCTGAACTCTTCCCTCAGGGTGAGAAAACTGAGGCTGTTTGGCTTGCGCTTTCAGCTGGTGTGGGGGTGGGGTGAGGGTAAAGAGTTGCACATGTTTTCCTAAATGAGGAGGAGAAAGTTGCTTTCTAAGTTGGGCGGCCCTACACCTGCTTTGCTCAGGACAGCCGTAAGTTATTGACATAATCACTTTGTGATTGTCATAATTCATTGCAACCCCTTTTCCTTCTCAAAAAGTGGCCTGGTTTGAACCTCAAAGTACAGCGGTTCGGTACTCATCGTTAATTTGTTCTGGAACTCATGACGAGTGCGAACACCGACGAGTACCGAACTGTGAAACATTTTCTCTTGTGGGGTGGCATCCTGACTCATACGAGTTCTAAAACATGTGAGAAGTCCCAAGCAAGCACAGAGTGCTAAAACATTTTTTTTTCCTGTCAAAATGCGACCAATACAGGGTTTGGCGAGTTCTGAAGCCGACGAGTACCGAGGTGTGACTGTATATGGTCACCTCACCTACCTTGTAAACTATGTCAAGGATTTGGGACACCTGCCCATGAAAAAGTAGTGAGCTCCTTAAAGTAGAAGTTCATTTCCATATGAGAGCCAGGAATGCTGGCAGTGGGAGGTTTGGAGGAAGAGGGTTGCTCTGGCCTGGGTAATCCGGGAGGGCCTCCCAGAGAGCTGGGGCTTTGTTCAGGGCCTGACTGGACTGGACCTGGACGGGGAGGAGCAGAGAAGATGGAAGGGAGCTCATCTTTACTTCTACAGAGTGGGCAGTTACGTTCTGTCTCATTTAATCCTCATAACAACTTCATGAAATTGATTACAGTATTATCTTAGGTTTTTAAATTAAAAATGAGGCTCAGGGAGGCCAAATTGGCACAGCAAGTAAGAGGTCTTCTTCCAAGGGAGCCCTGCTGCTTCCGCACACAGCAGGACACAGCAGGACACAGCAGGACACAGCAGGACGAGTGACTCCGAGCTGGGAATGTGCACCCTGTGCTTTTTGGGCGTCAATAGGCCAGTTGGGGGTGGGGGGACCGGTGGGAGAGGAGTGCCACCGCCTCCCTTGGTCACTCCTGTTCCAAGATTAGCTGAAAGTTCCAGAGTATTCCTTTCGTATTAGTTCCTTTTGCTTTCTGTCTGAGGTTGGCTGAGTGCAACGGGTTGGTCATTCGCCTTCCTTTGGAAATCGCGTCTCCTCGCCTCAGAGCCACGACGTTGTTAAGTCCCTGCTTCTGCTTTACTGCCTTGCCTTTTCTCAGCGCTGGCAAGAAAAGAGACTGCTCCTGCTGCCTCTGCCCCTGACATGAAGCAGCACTGACGCGATTGAGTTGTGGAAGGGGCCTCTCGTGCCCAGCAATAGGTCTCACCCCCTTGCTCTGTCTTTTCCTTGTTCCTCTTACTTTTTTGCTCCCGAGTCAGGGCCATGTGGCCGCTTGTGTTTATTTATACAGTTCTCTCTCTAGAGAACATTGTGCCCCGCCTTCCTGCTCCAGTGAGCAAGTAATCTGTGTAGCCACTTACCTCAAGTGCTTTGTTGTCACTTCGGTCCACAGCCATCTGGGCAGTTCCTGGTATCCAGGAAACGGGGGCCTTCTCTGGTATGGGGGGGGTGCTCTAGGACTGGGTACAGAATTCTCATATTGTGTTGGGAAGAGTTTGATATCGAAAAGACTCCCGTGCTGTTTAGTGTGAGTGGATCTCGGCTGCCACCCTGTTGAAGTAGGCTTAGAGAAATGGGCTCAGGCCAGAACCTTGGGGCAAACTTGCCCCTGAACTTGACAGATAATCTCTGCCTTTTGTGCTTCCCTCTAGGGGTGGGAACAGGAGATGGGAAGAGGGTGGTTGAAAAACAAGAAGCTCAAGAGTTATGAGATAAGGCAATTAATACCACCGGAAGTCTAAAATTGTCCCTTTCCGGGGGAGCTGGGGGGCAGATGACTCTAGGTTCCTAAATGCTCTTTTTTCCTAAAAATAATTATTTGAAAACTGTTCCTTGTTTAGTTTTGCTTCTCTGAACCCCTTTCCCACTTTTCTAAACTCTTCCATCCAACAAATCTTCCTTCAGTGAAGAAGCCTACGTGGCTGACTTTTCACCTTTCTATATAACCCAGTGTTCTTACCCAGGAGTGACTTTTGCGCCCACCCCCTGCAGAATATTTGGCAAGTCTGGACACATTTTTGGTTGTCCCGACTGGGATGCTACAGACATCTAGTGGGTAGAATCCAGGGATGCCGCCGAACATCCTACAAGGCACAAGACAGCCCCCACAACAAGAAGCTATCTAGTCCAAAATGCCAATACTGCTGAAATAAAGAAGCTCTGCCCTGGCTGTTGTGGATTGAGTGCTGGCAAACTGAAGGGTCACCGGTTCGATTCCCAGTCAGGGCACATGCTTGGGTTGTGGGCCAGGTCCCCATTTGAGGGTGTATCTCTCACATAGATGTTTCTGTTCCCCTCTGTCTCCCTCCCCTCCTGCTCTAAAAATGAATGAGTAAAATTAAAAAAAGAAAAAAAGAACCTCTGCTATAACTTGTGTGTCTCATTTGGACACTGTTATCCATTCGTCTCAGAAACAGGCTGAGAGAGATGTTTAAGAGCAAACTAATAAAAGAGCATTCTTGTACCCTGTGTTGAATCATAGACTTTATGGTCTCATTCCACCTGGCTGAGTGCTCATACCTGAAATGAAATAATAACTCTTAAGGTACCTACCTCTTCAGGTCATTCTGAGGATTAAATGATTAGTTCGTATACATAAAACTATTAGAACAGTATGTGGCACACGAATGTTTCAGAACTAAACCCCACCCCCACCCCCCACATCTCTGCTGTTGTGGGCACTGTAGGTTTTAATGTATTTAAAACTTTGGTTGCTAGGGAGATGCAAGGAAACAAGGTTAATAATAACCTTCTGTCCTCAGTTCTTATCAGCAGCTGGACTTTCAAAGTATTAAAAATAAAAGTTCCAGCAGCAGCAGCAACTGTGCTTGATTTAGTCTGAACCTGCTGGGAAAGTGTCTGTTTCTTGGCTTGAGTGTGTTGGTCATATCGGTTCTTGTGCAGGCTCCTTGGGAGCAGGGGGAGGGAGTTTTTGTGGACAGCTAGATAATGGACTACATCTTCTTTTTTGAAGTGTAAGGACTCTTTACCCTATGGGAAAAAAAAATAAAGGCTGAGTTTATCAGCTACCCCAGATGCAACATCAGAAGTCAGAGAATTGTTCACTGTTGTTTTTCTGTAAATTAACACTCAAGGAGACAGCGTAGCAGAGAGGAAAGAGCACTTTCCCACTAACCGGGTCTGTGTGGAATGCTCCAGCCTTTGCTAAAACACCAGGCCCTCTCAGCTAATGTCCTCATCCACAAAATGAGGACCCGTAAGATCAGCTTGCCTCCCCAGAGAGAACCAGTGAGCGGATGTGTGAGAAGCCCTCTGTGAGTGTACGGTAAATGGAGGTGCAGAGATGCTTGTGCTAGCTGCCCGTTCTCCTTCCAGGAGTCCCAACCACTGCACGTTGTGCTGGGAAATGAAGCCTGTGACTTGGACTCCATGGTGTCTGCTCTTGCCTTGGCTTTTTACCTGGCACAGGTGAGTAGTTAGGAACAGAATCTCTTACAAAAGATTTGGATTCAAGGTTCAGCTCTTGGGTAAGTTAAATCCCTTAACTTTTCTGAGTCCATTATTAAGTTTCTTGTGGGTATCCATGACCGTGTCCAGCTAGCTCTTGAAGTCTGATCATCTCTGCAGCATCGAGAACTCGGTCTTTTCCAGGAGTTATCTTGCTGATCTTTGTGTTATTGCTAAGAATAAGGGAGGGGGAGAGTTGTCCTTTTATTTTTATCACCTGGGTAATTGTGGCTTTGGGGAGGGCAGTAACTCACCCAAGAACATGTCTCCCTTCGTCCCAGCAGCCTTGTTATTTTCCTGTGTGTTCCAAAACACCGCATGCCTTCTTTTCACTTCCCTCTCCAGACGACTGAGGCTGATGATGTCTTTGTGCCAGTGTTAAATATCAAACGTTCTGAGCTACCTCTGCGAGGTGATAACGTCTTCCTCCTTCAGAAGTTTCACATTCCAGAGTCCCTGTTGATTTTCCGGGATGAGATTGACCTTCATGCATTGCACCAGGCCGGCCAGCTTACCCTCATTCTTGTTGACCATCATGTCTTACCCGGGTAAGTGGAGAGAAGTTAAGCTGACACTTATCACGTGATATGCTGGGCTCTGACCAGTAAGTTGTGAAGAGAGGAAGGAAGAATTTTTTGCTCTTGGGGATCTCACGGGCTAATCGTAATTGATGGGTCATAATCAGCTATAGAAAATCTTGTTACTTCTTCAGTTTTGCAAGTAATAATAAAAAATAGAAACATGTAGAGTTCAAAATTAAGTATAACTCAGAAATCATTTAAATATGCCTTTGGTATCATTTGTTATGATTTCGTGGCAGATTTATTATAATAGAAACATTTGAATAATGGTTGTAACTCTTTAATTTTTAAGAAGTTAGCAAAATTATTTCCTACATAAGGCAATATCTCATTAGTGTCTATTTAACAAAGATACGCACCTATAATCCACTCTAATTTATGACTAGAAAAAACTGCCAACAATGCAACATAAATACGTCTGTCTGGCACCTGCAGCACAAAAATGTATGCTTTTTCCTCGACACCGCTTATAGCAGGACATGGACAGAGGGTAGCCCGAGGGCACTGACCCCACTATCCATTCTGTCATTAACAACCTTCAGTTTGGAGGATGAAGGTGAGACGGAGTCCCTGTTGTTAAGAAGCTTGTGGTTAGGAAGAGGGAACAAGTCATTGTAATGAATTTAGAGGTAGGTGAGAGCTGTCACTGTAGGGGACAATAGGCACAGGAAAGACAGAGTGGTTACATACACTACAGGGGAGTAGAGGGCGTCAGGAAAGGTTTCCTAACAGAGCTGGCCCTTGATCTCAGTTTTGAAAGAGGACTAGGTGTTTGCTTGGGGAATGGGGAGATAAGGTAGGTAGGAAAAGCATCCAGGCAGAAAGAGTGATAAATGTAAGCAAGGGCGGACAGGCAGGAAATAGCATGTGAGTTGGGGGAGCTGGGATTTGTTTTGCATGGCTGGAGCATAAAATACGAGCAAGAAGTAAGACATGGGAAAAGATAAGACTAGAGAGATTGGCTGGGGCCAGATCATAGAGACCTTGCGGGACTGCCAAGGAGATTAGACTTTATTTTAGGGCAGTAGGGAGTTAGTGTTAATAATATTTATTCCAGGTCCTAATGTAATCAAATTGGCATTTTTCAATTCATTATTTGGGTACAGTGATTTTCAGCATGTGCTGTACGGAGCACACTGGTGGCGGCAAGGACTGTCAAAATGCGCGACACCTGACTATTTCGTCAGGGGCACTGACTTCTTTTCCCTTAGATTGTCAAACAAAAAATGGCAACGGCCAACACAATAGCCATCTAGTGTGAATGAATCAAAATTATACTTTTGTGTGTGTGTGTGTGAAATCAGCAAAAATGTATTGGGTTGGCCAAAAAGTCATTTTAGTTTTTTCCGTAAAATAAAAGACATATTTTTTATTTCACCAATAACTTTATTGATTTGAGCATTTTGAGTATGTTCGCTGTCTCCTGCTATTGACTTCTAGTGGGTAGAAACCAGAGAGGTGCTGCTAAACATCTTCTAGTGGATAAGACAGCCCCACAGCAGAGAATTATTTGGCCAAAATGTCAAAAGTACCAAGAAACTTCGCAAACCGCTTTTGACACATTTGATCAGTCACAGCATCTTCTCCATATATTGCACAAACCTTTTTCTGCATTTCAGTTGCATTTTTACCTTTCTTGAAATAATAAGCATGATATATTAAAAATGTTGCATATTTTCTTCCATTTTCAATTTTAAAATGGCTGCACAAAAATTCACCAATCTTTAAAAAGATTTTGTTTATTTATCTTTAAAGGGGAAGGGAAGGAAAAAGGGAGAGAAATATTAATGTATGGTTGTCTCTCATGTGTCTCCTGCTGAGAACTGGCCTGCAACCCAGGCATGTACCCTGACTGGGAATCGAACCATGATCCTTTGGTTTGCAGGCCCACGCTCAATCCACTGATTGAGCCTACACCAGCCAGGATTTCACCAATTTTAATGTGTCTTTTTTTTACTACATGCTGGTATGACAGCTGTCACCCTACAATCCAACAAAATTGTTTTGAATGAAATTAAAGACAACTAAGCACTACTAGAGCCATCATACAAAAACAACTCAATGAACTTTTTGGCCTACCCAATCATTTATTTTATGGTGTGGTGCAGAATTTTAGTAATGAGTTTATGTGTGCCATGAGATGAAAAGGGTTGAAAATTGCTGTTCAGGTAGCATTGTGGAGGATTGCTTAGGAAGGCCCAAGACTGAAAGCAGGTATGTGGTTGAGACATCGGAACAGCCCAGGTGAGAGATACTGATGGCCTGGTGTAAGGCCGGAGCAGAGGGTTGGAAAGGAGGCAGTAAGTAGAGACTGAGCTAGAAGGCCCAAGATCTAGTGACCTGTGTGGAATTTGGGTACGAAGTGAGCTGAGGGAACAGAAAAGCTTTAGATGTTGTTAGGTGTCGAGGGTGTCAGTTGGAAAGGCAACCCTAGAGGACATCAACTGTGTGGATACAGTGTTGGTAGCAGATACTTTGCCAAATTCACTTATATGTTGTTTCAAGATGATTTCAGTTATAACATTAAAGAAAAGAATGGAAAGGAGCGAGGCCCAGGGAGAAGTGGCCAAAAGTCTTAAGTGTTTGCTAAGATGTCTGGCGAGGAGCAGCCGGAGTGCTCCCACACATCTTTCTTTCTCTCTTCCCCCACACCGCCTTCGTCCACACAGGAGCGACGCAGTCCTAGAGGAGGCAGTGGCGGAGGTGCTAGACCATCGGCCCATCGAGCAGAAGCGCTGCCCTCCGTGCCATGTTTCAGTTGAGCTGGTGGGGTCCTGCAGTACCCTGGTGACCGAGAGAATCCTGCAGGGGGCACCAGAGATCTTGGACAGGCAAACTGCAGCCCTTCTGCATGGTGAGGGTGGCTTATTTGGGGCCTGACTCCTTTGTTCCTCTGTTCCTATCCCCGAGAAGGGAGAGAAGGGACTGTGGAAAACTCTAGACTCTTCTGGTTTGACCATACCCTCCCAGAGGGTGACTCAAGGCTGGAAGTCTTTCATGGGGCAATCGGGCATTGAAAGGCGGTGGGATGCATGGAGGTGAATTGACAGAGACTCCACTGTATGATGGAAAAAGGAGTAGCCAAAGAAGCAGGAAATGGGTCCCAGTACCATTTATGCCCAGGAAGTAGTTCTGTGACCTTCAGCAAATCTCTTAGCCATTTTTATTTTCATTTTCTCCATTTGTTAAAAGAGAGAGATAAAAAGAGTTGGACCAGACCGTCTCTCAACTTGCAAGAGTCTTTACTGGCATTTGGCCTACGGAGGGGAAGAGAGGTCATCTTTCTCTGACTGGGTTTCAAAATCTCCAAGGATTGAGAGGCTCAGGCTTCCTTTCTACCTTTTTCCCATTTCCCTGCCTGCATTTCAGTTTGGATTTGGGAAGGCTTACTCAGGACAGAGTCCCAGTTTCTTGTTCTGTTTTCAGGGAGTTTCTCCCATGTGTCGCGTCCACTGGGTTGGAGGGTTACTTGTGTTTCAGTGGCCACGAAGGGAGGGCCACGGGAGCTGAGTTCCGCCATCCTCCTCTGCCACAGGGACAATCATCCTGGACTGTGCCAACATGGACCTTCAAATCGGGAAAGCAACCCTAAAGGACAAAAACTATGTGGAGAAACTGGAGGCCCTCTTCCCAGACCTGCCTGAGAGAAATGACATCTTTGATTCTCTGCAAAAGGCAAAGTTTGATGTGTCAGGTATGAAGGGTTAAACTGACCTCGCCCCCTCCCGTGGGAGAAAACAGGCGGGCAGTCCCTGCTCATTATATTCCTGAGCACCAACAAAGCCATTTCAGAGCGTGGGTGATGATTAAGCTTTGGAGAGAAACAGGGTGGCGTGTGAGTCTGATCAGGAACTAATCAGTCATTTACTGGATTGTTCTATCTGGGCTTTTGGGGATGCTGAGGAGGAATCTACCGAGAGTCTCGGAGTTTTCCAGTCTAATCAGAGACTATAAATAAAACACGCCGAGGGAACACTGACGTATCAGTGTAAGATCTAGATCATTGGTTAGGGCAGCAGACAGAACAGGCTGCGCACACCAAGGACAAAGGAAGAAGACAAAAACACTTCCGTAACTTTCTACCCAGCTGCCACCTGTTGATTTAAAAAATAATAATAAAGTACCACATGTACTTTTAGGAAGTTAAAACAACACAGAAAGGGGAAAAGTCAAAAGTAAAAGCCTCTCTTTTTCCTCTTACCCTTCTCTCCAAGTCCCTGGCTCTAAAGGTAACTATTGTAACCCAGTAATTTAAAGTAGTTTTTATTATATAATTACATTTTCTGGTATCAGCCCTGTCTGTCGCCCCAAAGAGAGGCTTCCTCTTCCTTGACTTACCGTGGTGTCACCTTCCTGGTTTTGGGACCCTGGGCTCTCTTGTTCGACTCCTAGTCTCACATCCACTTTCTAGGACTGACCACTGAGCAGATGCTGAGAAAGGACCAGAAGACCGTCTTCAGGCAAGGCGTCAGGGTGGCCATCAGTGCAATATATATGGACTTGGAGGTGAGAGCAGGATGGACGTGTGCGGAGAGAAGACCTTCATTTATGCCAGTAACCTCGCCCCTCACTTCTGGCTCTCCTCCAAAACTTACCTTGTACCTGTCTGTGTTTCGAGAGCTCCCTTGTACCTCCCACAGTTCGTTGTCTCTCACCAAACTACTGTAAGAGCCCCCACGGATTCCCAGCGTCCACTTTTGGGCCCCTACAGAGCATTCTGCCTGCAGCAGCCAGTGATGGTGTTAATATGTGACTTGGATTGTATCACCCCCTCCCTTTATCGCCTTTTTATTGCACTTGTAATAAGGTGTAAAGGCCTTCGTTGTTGTTTACAGGGTCCGCCATGGCCTGGGTCATCATATAGCTAATATGTAATAGAGCTGATTTCCAAATCAGTTCTATCTGAACCCCAAACCTGTATTCTCTCCATTCTACTGACTGCCTCCCAACACATACATAGCACTGAGTAAATAGTAGATACATTTTTTATGGAGCCCCAGGTTAACATGCAAAGAAACCCTTCCTAAGCATTTTGTTAGGGATCAGTGGTGGTGACAAGGTGGCCAGCGCTAGCCCTCATCTCTGTCCGTGTCTTCTCTTTCAGGCCTTCCTGCAGAGGTCCGGCCTCATGGCAGACCTCCGTGCTTTCTGCCAGACTTACAGCTATGACATCCTGGTCGCCATGACTATCTTCTTCAACGCTCACAATGAGCCAGTGCGGCAGTTGGCTATTTTCTGTCCCTATACAGCACTCCGAATGACAGTGAGTCCCTGTCTCTGCTTCAGGCTGAGGGCTCTACAGAGCTCTGCCTGTACATGCTGCCCTCTCCTTGGTTCTCACGGTTGCACCGAGGTCCCCTGACCTATTTCCAGAAGCTCCCTTCCCTGCTTTTTTCATCCTCTGCCTATGTGAATATCCTTCATCATACTGCCATTGGGCAAGGGGAATTCCAAAGCGAAGGAGAAATGGAGTTCCTGCTTAGAAGGAACCTGAAGTCAAGTTAAAAGGGAACGTAATGGCCCTGGCTCCAGTGGCTCATGGATTGAGTGCCAACCTGTGAACCAAGGACTCCCTGGTTCGATTCCCAGTCAGGGCACATGCCTGGGTTGCAGGCCAGGTCCCCCGTGGGGGGTGTGCGGGAGGTAGTCACACACTGATGTTTCTCTTTCTGTCTTTGTCCCTCCTTTCCTGTCTCTCTGAAAATAAATAAATCTTTTTTTTTTTAAAGGAAACATAATGAACCTGCAGTTAAAACTCAGTTCTTAGTTTAATCATTAACTCCTCAACCTTGAAAACCAATTTCTTTCTCTTTACCCTCTTGCCCAGGAAATGGGAAACAAGAGAGAAACCTTTTCCACACTTACTCATGTAGGGAGTGATCACCCTGTGTAGTGCTGACTCTGTAGAGAAGTGATCCAGGAGCAGGTGTTTGTCTTGCCTGATCTTCCGCTTGGCCACCTTTTCCACCTCCTCCCCTTCCTTTTCCTCTGCTGGTTACTCATTAGCACAGGGAAGAATTTAAAAGTGGACTTAAAGCTGGCCGGGGCCTCTTTGAGTTGCTTGGGCTACTTGAGGACTGGTGAAGCTGGATCTGAATACAGCCAGATAATCCTTTGAGCCTGTAAGAGGCATGCCTGCCCTTTCCCACCCCTCTCTTTGCCTCTGTCTTCTCTAGGCAGCAGGTGTTACTTCATGCAGTGGAAGATAGTTTGGCACTGGGGAGAGACTACAGTTTTTAAAGGCGGAGAGACATGCTTTTCTATCCCAGATTTGCCACTTACTTTCTCTTTGAGTTAAAGCAAGTCTGTTGACTTCTGAGCCTGTAAGTGGCATAATATTACCTACTAATTAGTCTGATGAGATCATTAAGCATAAAGTCATATGTGAAGTACATTGCTGGGTACAAAAGTAAGCACTTGATAAATGGTGGCTCCTACCAATCGTGTCCTGAAGGAAAAGGCACTTTGGCTGTGAGAAGTGCCTCTTCCCACCTTCTCTCCACCGCTGTCCTGGAATCGGGATGATGCCCCCACCGCCGGGGTGGCCTTGTGCTGGGCAGCAGGAGTCCTTTTTTCACAGTCTGCCCTACCACTTCCTCTCCTCTGTGAGGAATACTATAATACAGCGATTCAAAGCACCAGCTTCAGTGACAGACCTAAGTCCAAGGATCAGCTTTGCTTCATTCAAACCATGACTCTAGGAAGTCACCTGATCTGCCTGAGCCTCAGTTTTGCAGCCTGTGAGTGAGGATAATAGTAATATCTATCTTAAGGTAGGTGTGAGGATTAAATGAGGTAATACTTGTGAATGGCTAGACTTGGCATCTTGCGTGGCATACCTTCCACCCCCACTTCGATCTGTTCATCCTTTCTGCCTCTGTCCTTCCCTCGACCTCAGTGTAGATGCTTGTCCTCTTGCAGGTAAGGATAGAGTTCAAGTTTTTGAGTGCAGGAAAACACTAGGAAACAGCACTGGGTTGTTAGAAGCTGGGGGTCCTGGATTCCAGTTCACATTCTACCACTTCTTAGAATACATGATTTTGCTCGAGATGGTTAATCTCTTGGGGACTTGGTTTACTTATTAATAAAATGAAATATATGATCTTAAAAGTTTTTTCCTCTTCTAAAAGACTGTATATTAGCTGATATGCCCTTTGTTGCAAGCAGTAAAGCTGAACTCAGGGTGATTTAAAGAACATTTCTCACTATGGCTGGACTGCTCCATTGGTCAGTGTTGTCCACATGCACCAAGGTTACGGTTCGGTCGTGGCACGTACAGGAATCAACCAATGAATGTGTAAACAAGAGAACAACAAATCAACATTTCTGTCCGTCTGTCTCTCTCTTTCCCTTTGTTTTGCTCTCTAAAAATCAATAAATGCAAATTAAAAAAAATATTCTCCTTTGTAAGAGAAGCCTCCAACTTAGAAGCCTCAGCAGTTGACCTCACCACCTAATGTACTGTTTCCCCGTCTTGTCGCCCCTTTAGATCTGCGACGTCCTGGAACACTGTCACTCTCCATGCCTGAAGCTGACCCTTATCCCAAGCCCCGACCCTAACCTTCAAGCCTATGCTCAAGGCAACACCCAGGTGTCTCGAAAGAAATTTCTGCCTCTCCTTCTGGAAGCCCTGTCAGCATATTTTGACTCCACGACAAGCCCTTCAGGGCAGCCGGAGACAGTGGATGTGTCCAGGGAGCAGGTGGACAAGGAATTGGACAGGGCAGGTACCTCGCTGATTCCTGGACTGAGTCAAGACGAGGAGGAGCCCCCACTGCCCCCCACGCCCATGAACAGCCTGGTGGACGAGTGCCCTCTGGATCAGGGGCTGCCGAAACTCTCAGCCGAGGCCATCTTTGAGAAGTGCAGTCAGATCTCGCTGTCACAATCTTCCACTGCCTCCCTGCCCAAGAAGTGACCACTGGGAGGGGAGGGGTTAGTGAGAGAGGTTGCTTGAACTACCATGAATGCATGTTTGGTGAGGTTTCAGCAATTCTGTCTTCATTGCTCCAGGATATGGCGTACCGGTACTGTTCTCATAAATCTGGGAGGAGAAAGAAGTAAAAGAAAGCAGCTACTTTAGGAATGGCTTTCTACCAACCCCCCACTCCCCGCTCCAATCTCTATCAATCCAATTCTGTTATTTAATTTAATTCTTAGATCTGCACTGACTCCCCAGGGGTACAATGTTAACTCCTACACTGTTCCAGCAGAGTGGCACAAAAAAGAACGTGTACCCCAAAAGTGCCCTCAGCAAGGCTCTCGAATAGAACCAGTGTCTCTCATGGAAACAAACATTCATTGTCTCCATGTGTTCATTTCTTCTCTCACTGACTCAAGTATTCATTGAATACCCAATGTAAGCTATACAGCATATAGAGTGTGTGTTGGAAACTACTGTTCTAGTTTTAGCAGATTTCCAGCTTTGTGACTCCTCTTCCTGCCCCCAGTTAGGTAATGATGTCTGATTCCAAGATGGCTACATTTTTTTTATGAGTTTGTGACTCTCGTAGGATTATTTGGGAGCAGATTAGAGGCCGTTATCTTCTGCCCTGCTCAGGTGGCCTGGATCTCGGTTTCTTTGGATCCCTTGTCCCGAAACCACAGGGAGCCTGAAGAAACCCACAAGAGCCCTGAGCATTCCAGAGATGCTCAGGAAGGCCTTACGACCTCATGGGCACTCTTCCCAAAACACAGCAGAACTGCAATGAGAGCCTCGGCTCTTCCCCTGCCTTAGCGGGCCTGTCAGTTTCATGTCCATGTCATTCTCTTGCTCATAGTAAAAGGGATGATGGAGTTCTGATTTGGACTGCCACGAGCTGTGTGTCTTTGGCAAGGCTCTTTATCTCTAGGTTTCATTTCCCCCATCAGTAGAACTAAGGATCTAGACTAGAAGTCCTGTTCTCCTTGGCAATAGTCAGGGTCACTGGATCGTCTGTATTTATGTGCGATTGTACCAAGGGACTCAGCCTCATGTAGCATGTACAGGGGTATGATTCATACCACAGTGACCCAGCAAAGAGCTCCCGCCCACTGACTTGTTCTGCATGTGTAGTCTCCCTTTTTTCTTCAGACCAACCTGTTCCCCCTTCTCCTATCCCGCAGCTCTGTTCCATGTAAGTTGCCAACAGTTTCACTGAATTGTGGGGAATGTGATGGTTTTAGCATGACGTTTTCAGTATGAGGGGGACAGTGTGACTTCATGTTGAGGGGATGATGTGAGTAGCCATTGGAAGGTAAAAATAGTGGTGTGATTACTGAACCAAAGGAATTTATGTTTTGTAACTTGGGTACTTTATTTTGCATTTTGTTAAAGAATTAAATAATTTTTTCCTGGTTGGAGTCTTATTGTCTCTTTTTATGACTATAATCAGGCCTTTTCATCAGATAATTCATCCTCCTCAAGATTTTCTCCCTTCTTCCTATTGTACTTTTTTATTTATTTTTAGGGGAAGGGAGGGAGAGAAACATCAATGTGTGGTTGCTTCTTGAGCGCCCCCTACTGGGGACTTGGCCTGCAACCCAGGCATATGCCCCGACTGGGAATCCAACTGGCGACCCTTTGGTTTGCAGCCCAGCACTCAGTCCACTGAGCCACACCAGCCAGGGCCCTGTTGCACATTTAATATCTTCCTTCTGTTGACTCTTTGGAAATAAGGAACAACAGTCTTTTATCTCCCCTCATCCTCTCCTTTAATTTGTTTCTTCTCCCAGAACTGTCCTTATAACACGCTTCTGTGTCACTAATTTGCTTATTCTCAAAAAGTAGGGCCAAGATAGTCCTAGACCAAAACGATTTTTACCATAGTCTCTTTTTTTTAGAGCAGCTTCCAGATTCTAAGGAGTTGTGAGAGAAGAACAGATTGCCTTCCTAGAGCCCTCCAAGACTAGACATTTTAGAAAATGTATTCTCCCCAAAACCCTCCCCCACATAGGCACGGTTCTTTTGGGCAAACCTGCTCTTTGGGAAGGGAGGTGGCAAAACCTGTTTGAAGGTGAGGTTACCTCCCTTCCACACCTTCCTTCTTAGAGGCAAGACAACAACAGCTGAGGCAGAGAAAGGCTTCCGAAGTGTTGGGGAGCTGGGGTGATCAGCTCCCTGACTTCTCCAGGAGTTTAAGAAGGGGACAGATTTGTGAAGATGGGAACTATACAAGAGGCAGGAGAAAAGATACTGGATCTTGGGTAAGTGAGATCTTGGCTGACAATTAGAAACAAAAAGTGACCAGTCTTGGGACTTTTCCACCATCCAGCTCTTACTGGTTCTTAGGTTCCTAGAAGCAATAAAACTAAAAATTAATTTACAGAGAAGGAATGAGGGTGGCTTTATTTAGGTAGAAAATGTTGGTATGGTATGGAACTGAGAAATGAAGAGTCCAGGGTAATTCCCTATTGTGAGTATTTTTGTTTTATTTTTTAAGGAAGTTTCTATATTTTGACAGGGATAAATCTGCCTGTTCTCTGTGTTCTAAACCCCACCCTTCAGAATGACCATTAGGAAAGAAGACCCAGAAGTTTAGGTCCAAGTTCTCCCCAGCAGATCTGTCTTCCTCTTTACCTTCTTTCCCCACCCCTCCACCCAGACTGTGGTTTCCCCTGACCACGCCCCAGCACGGTGTAGGACAGGCCTGTCTAGGTGCCGTCTTCCTGAACTTTGCCCAGTGATAGATGGGCAGGTCTGTCGGCGTCCAGCCAATTATAATGTGCATTTTACTTCTCACCCCTACTGTGTAGGTGGAGCAACTGCCAGAGGGGTAAATATGGTTAATTTTACATTCTATCCTTTCTCTGCCCAAACCCTAACCCTAAACCCAACAGTAGGGGTAATCTGTTTCCAGCAAGCAGTGAACATAGTAGAAACATCTGTCTAGGAGAGGAGTTCTTTTTAAGGCTTGCTCAGCACTCTGCACCTTAATTCCTGTTCTTCATTCCAGTGTTTCCTACCTGCAATCCGGTTCCCTCGAGACACTCCCTAGTTTGTCTCACAATAATTTATTCTGCCGGGGGTTGGGGGTCTACCTTAGGGTCATGGAGAATGCAGAAGCAGCAGGACTAGCAGCATCCCTGAGACTTGGGGAACTGGAGCTGAAGGAGGAGTGGCAGGATGAAGAATTCCCTAGGTGAGGGGATGAGAGGGAGGCTGGGAGGGGAAAGGGATGGTCACAGATGGGGGGGCAGGAACGCAAATGAGAGCGCGAAGAGGTGGGGGAAAAAGGTGATAAAATTGTGGGAAGAGAGAATTGATGAAATGATACCTGGCTTGATGCCTTTAGCCTATATTTCTTCCCCCTTCGAATCTTTTTTTCCTCCAGTTTGCTTCCTGAGAAGGCTGACTCTTCTGAAGATCCTGACAATCCTAAAAGAGACTCACAGGCAGGTAGGTAAATTAGAACCTAGGCCTCAAGGGTTTTTATTGTTTTTGTTTTTTTTTGGGGGGGGGCATTAATTCTGAGGGAGAAACACTTGTTTACTAGTCCACTTTTCCATGCATTCATTGGCTGATTCTTGTATATGCCCGGACCAGGGATCAAACCCACAACCTTGGTGTAGGGGGACAATGCTCTAACTAACTGAGCCTACCTGGCTAGGGCTCAAGTTCTTGATTCTAACCCAGTGGTAGAAGTTTATGCCACCCTCATCCTTTTGCAGTGCTATTTCCCTTTTCTCAAGTGCGCCCTGTGGTAGTTCATTTTTAGAATTCACCCCATATTATCACCTGTGTACACAGAAATTCTAACCAACACCCGTCTGTCTACTCCTTTGTCTGCTCTCCCCTGGCCTCCAGGAACGCCCAGCACTTTAGCCCTGTGTGGCCACCGTGCCATGCGGAAGCGTCTTTCGGCCCCCGATTTGCGACTGAATTTGACAAAGGGGCCTAGAGATAATGAAGCTTCTTCCACCTCCTCAGCACCTTCCTCTCCTGATGGTAGCTCTGACCTGGAAGTAGACGAATTAGAGACACCTTCAGGCTCCGAGCAGCTGGACAGCGGACATGAATTTGAGTGGGAAGGTGGGAAAGAAACCTGAGGGATGAGCAGGAAGTAGAGGCTCAAGTTAAAACTCAGGATGGATTTAGTGCGACTGAAGTTATAGAACTGATAAGGTGGAAACAGAGAGGTAAAGTGAGCAAAATTAATTCTTCAGAATAGAAAGGTGGAACCTAGGAATTCATTGTGAAAGAAGTCAGGAGAGGATGGGTGGGGTCCTTTGTTCATTAAGAAAAACTATTGAATGAGTGATGGGTGCATGCCATCAATGAGCTAGAACTGGAGTTGCAAAGATGAATAAGATAATCCCTACCACCGTCAGGAAATTCTCTGTTTAGTAAAAAATACACAGATACAAATAAATGCAACTGAAGCCATGATCTACATGTGTACGGGGTGCAGTGTAGGCAGAGAGAAGGAGGAGGTCAGTTCTGCCGGAAAGGGGCTGCGGAAGCCTTCACAGAGGAAGTGACTGAGCGGTTGTCAGGCAGTTGGAGAGGCAGCCTGGCTGGAAGAAGCAGCTTGGGCAGTACCATGGTGTGTCAGGGGACTCAAAGGGTTAAGTATGACTCTAGATACTAAGGAAAACTGTCACTCACAACACATCAAATGTGTGAGTTTCCCCCCACTGACCAATGTCTATCCAGACACCAACTGCTAGCTGTCCTAGAGTTCAGCTGGTGTCCTAGAGTCCTGGCCTAGAGTCCAGGTAGTTCACTAACTACCTGGAGTTAGTGCAGACCCCAGAGGTTAAGGGCTCAGTCCCACAAGACTGCCACCTCTCCCCCCACCTCGGACACCTGTCACATGCCCAGGTGTGTCACCTGTGCTTCAGATTGACTGGCTACCTGCTACCTTCTTCTCAGGCTGGATAATTTGCTGGAATAGTTCACTAGAATTCAGAAAAACAATGTACTTACTGGATTGCACATTTATTATAAGAGCCAGTATGTGGGAAGAGGTGTGGAGCTTCCATCTCCAGGCACACCACTCTCCCAGCACCTCCATGTGTTAACCAGCCCAGAAGCTCTTCGAACCCAGATTGTCTTCTGTTAGGATTTTTATGGAGGCTTCGTTACGTGGGCATGATTGATTAACTCACTGGCTGTTAGTAATTACCACAACCTCTAGGTTCTCTCCCCTCCCTTAGAGTTCCAGCCCTCTAGTCACCTGGGTGGTTCCCCTGGCAACCAGCCACTCATCCTTAGGAGCTTTCCAAAGTCAACTCATTAATATAAACCTCTGTGTTTGAAAGGGGCTTGTTATGAATAGCAAAAGATATTCTTTTCACCTTTTTCATCAGGAGCTAGGGACAAAGCAAAAAATATATATATTACTGTATCATCATATCATAGATATGAAGGATTGGGAGGTGAAGAAAAAATGATGAAAGAGTGTTAAGTAGTCAAGGTCAAATCTTGGAGATCCTTGATACCACACTAAGGAGTTTAGATTTTATCTTAGGCAATGGGGAGTCATCGAATGCTGTTAATGAAGAGAGTGAAATGATCAGATGTAATTGCTCTGAAAAGATTGAAAACAACCTAAGGGTCCCTCAGTAGGGTATTAATACTATTCTGGTGCATCCATACAACGGAATACTAAGTTCTAGACAAATATTTTTTGAAAGATTCTATTTATTCCCAGACAGAGGAGAAGGGAAAGGGAAAGAGAGGGAGAGAAACATCAGTGTGTGGTTGCCTCTCACACCCCCCCCCACTGTGGGCCTGGCCCACAACCTAGTCATGTGCCCTGACTGGGAATTGAACCAGCAATGCTTTGGTTCAGAAGTTGGTACTCAATCCACTGAGCCACACCAGCCAGGGCTAGGCAAATATTTTTTTAAGATGAGGATGCTTTCTTTTTTTTTTCTTTCTTTTTTTTTTTTTTTTGAGGTAGCTCTTTCTATCACCATGCAAAGTTAGTGGGTATAGCATATTGCCATTTGAGTAAAAAAGGAGAACAGAAAGTTTGCTCTAGCTGTGGTATAGAGGGTGGAATGGAGAGAAATAAACTAAAGGCGGGGAGACCAGTTAGGAGGTTCATACTAAAGCCAGATGACAACTACTAAGAACCTGAACCGAGACAGTAATAGGAAAGAATGATAAAAGAGGAAAGAATGTAATGGAGGTAGATGAAAGAGGATCTAGGGTCCGGCTGGCTCAAGGGCTGATAGAGAAGAAAGAGCCTTGGATGACATACAGTTTTCTCTCTCAGGAGGCTGGATGGATGGGGCCGTTCATCAGGAAAGGAAATAAGGGAGAGGTGAGGAAGAGCACGAGTTTGAGTTGCACTTTGTTCTGGTGGCTTGGAGATGACAGAGACACCTAAAGTAGAGATGTCTAATCTGGGCATTTAGGAATATAGGTCTGGAGTTAGGTAGAGAAGCCTGGGTTAAAGAGGCAAACTGGGGAGTCATCACCTTACTGATGGTAACTGAAGACATGAGAATAAATGACCTCACTCACAAACCGTTCTCTCCCTCTCCCCCCCCCTCTCAAAAAATTAAAAAAAAGAATCATAGAAAGAAAGAATCCGGAAAAAAACTGATACCAGCAAGGACCATCAACCTGCCATAGTGCAAGATTACATCAAGGCCACTGTCTAGTGAAAGTGAGGATAATGAATCGCAGGAAAAGGAAACCAGCAAGGGTTTGGGTATACTGGACAAACTAGGGCTAGAGTCATGGGGACAAAGGAATGAGACAAAGGTGGACACCCCTTTATCTGGACAAAGGAATGGGGTCAACAGAGGAATGAGAGGTTGGAGTAATAGACTCTAGGAATCTGGGGAAGTTACAAGATACTGAAAGTGTGTATTCTACTCTATTGGTCCTTCCCCATCCCTCTCTTTTAGATGAGCTGCCCCAGGCGGAGGGTCTGGGAGCCAGTGAGGCAGCTGAAAGGCTGGGCCAGGGTTGTATGTGGGATGTGGCTGGAGACCATGGTCATCGCTGGAGGGTGTTCCGAACAGGGCAGCGGGAGCTGCGAGTGGACATGACAGTCATTGAGCCGTATAAGAAAGTCCTGTCTTATGGAGGTAATGGCTAGCATAAGTGGAGATGTCAGAACTATGACTTGTTGAATAAAATGCCTAATCTGGAAACTCAGTTATTGAGCTCAACTCCTGTAACTTCCAGAGACCCTCAACCTACGCATGTCTGTCAGTACACCTTTGTTGACTGAGATTTCCCTTATCCTTCCCAGGTTACCATGGTGATGGCCTCAATGCTGTCATCCTCTTTGCTTCCTGTTATCTACCCAGAAGCAGCATCCCCAACTACACCTATGTCATGGAACACTTATTTAGGTGAGATGGGAGGCCTGAGGGGCTTCAGGTTGGATGTTAGGGAGGGAAAGGTAAAAAAGAAACCCCTCTTTAGCAGTAGCTGATTGTAGAGTCTACAGTAATGTCCCTCTCACCCCCACGCCGCCCCCCCCTCCAGGTATATGGTGGGAACTCTAGAGCTGCTGGTAGCTGAAAATTATCTGCTTGTTCATTTGAGTGGAGCCACAGTCCGGGCTCAAGTTCCACCTCTGAGCTGGATACGCCAGTGTTACCGGACTCTGGATCGGCGGTGAGCCTCAGAATGAGGGGGGGGGTCTCAGAACGCGAGTCTGTCTTATCTCTTTCTTTTCCATCTTTACATTCATTCTTCTTCCACTTGGTTCCTCCTTGTTTTTGTCCCTCTATACCTTTTTTCTAAGCCTTTTCTAAGTCTTCATTTCTCTCTTAGAGTCAGAGAAAGCAAGTTTCAAATGTCTTTGCCATTTACCAGCTATGTGATTTTGTTTTGCTTTGTTTTATCAGCTGTGTGACTTTTGACGAGTCACTTAACCTTTCTGGGATTCAGTTTCCTTATCTGGAAAATGGCAAAGAGAGTAACTTTGCCACTGGGAATTTGTGAAAGTCAAGTAAATCAAAGTGGCATGTTGGCCTGGCACCCCTTCCTTTCCCCGCAGTCTGGTCATTTATTTCACCTTCGAATCCATTGTCTTCCCTGCATTCATCCCTGACCCACAGATTTTCCCCCCCGTAATGTTCCTTCCTTTCCTCCATCTTCCCTTTGCTCATTTTTCTTTTTCTTCTTCCTCCTCCTTCATTTTCTCCTCACTGGTTTTCTTCCACCTGGGGTTTTATAAATAGGCCTGGTCATAGAGAGATGGAGAAGTGTACCAAAGGACCTTATACAGGGAAGGGCACAGGAGGGGAACTGGGGTAGCGAAAACCAGCCTGAGGGATTCTGAGGGGAGAATTTCCTAAGAATGGGGAGCACAGAGCTGAACAAAATGGATGGGGCTGAGACTGCAATGAAAAGAATGGGGGTTAGATCCAGTTGCCAGAAAAATCTAGAAGCGAAGGAAGTTAAAGTACTGAATGTAGCTCCACCTGCCCTTCAGGCATGAAGGTAGAAGAAGAAATAGAATGATCTCCAATTCTTCTTCAGGATAAGGAAGAACCTGCGCGCGCTGGTGGTTGTCCATGCTACGTGGTACGTGAAGGCATTTTTGTCGCTGCTTCGACCCTTCATCAGGTGGGTACTCGCTCTGGGGACAAGGACTCTTTCCCTTTCTCTTCTTCCCATTTTCTTTTTCTTCCTTTTTTTTTTAAAAAAAAAATAAGAGTATATATGAGCCAAATTGATAACATAAGCCATGAAACAAGATCTCAAATGGTCCCCCCACTTTTTCCCATTTTCAAAATCAAGCATAAGAACTTGCCTCACCCTGACTCTTTCTAGCCTTTTAATGCCTCTCTACTTGTTACACTTCCCTCTTAAGGGTCTCCGGGAGCCCTCTTCCTGGTATACAACACATGTGGTTTATCCCCTCTTTTCAGTTCCAAGTTCTCGAGAAAGATTCGTTTTCTGAATAGCCTGGGAGAACTGGCCCAACTCGTCTCCTTGGATCAGATCCACATCCCTGAAGCTGTCAGAGAGTGAGTTCTGAGCTTAAGGATAAAGGTTTTGGAGTGGGATATGTAAAGCCATTTTCTTTCTTTTTTAAGCTTTTATTTATTCATTTTTAGAGAGGGGAAGGGAAGCAGAAAGAAAGGGGGAGAAACATCAATGTGTGGTTGCCTCGCATGCGTCCCCTACTGGGGACCTGGCCAGCAACCCAAGCATATGCCCTGACCAGGAATTGAACCAGCGACTTTGGTTCACAGGCTGGTGCTCAATCCACTGAGCCGCACTAGCCAGGGCTAAAGCCATTTTCTTAATGCTTTGGGGTAGCTACAAAGGAACTAAAAGCCAGAGGACCTGCTCTCAGATGTTTCAAGGTGTCTAGGAAAGCTGCACATACCTCGAGAAGAAATTAAGAGCACTCCTGTACACAACAAAAACAAATGAAAAACTACAGTGCCGAGGCAACAAGGAATAAAGGAATAATCATAGCACAGAATTTAGAAGAGATTCAGCTCTCGCTGGTGTAGCTCAGTGGGTTGAGCGCTGGCCTGCCAACCGAAGGGTCACTGGTTCAATTCCTAGTCAGGACATATGCCTGGGTTGCAGGTCGGGTCCCCAGTAGGGGGTGTGCGAAAGGCCAACCACACATTGATGTTTCTCTTCCTTTCTTTCTCCCTCCGCTCCCTCTGTCTAAAAATAAAATCTTAAAAAAAAAAAGAATTTAGAGGAGATTCCCTAGAAATTAGAAAGAGATGTGGTTGTTGGCAGTGAAAAGGAGATACTATCCAGTGGGGAAGGGGTGCTAGGGAGCAAAGGTGATGACCAGCTAAAGCATCCAACCTTCCAATTCACCTGGCTTCTTTCCCCAAACCAGTGAGTAAAACCCAGGCCCACTTATTTTTCTCTCTCCTAGACTGGACCAGGATCTCCATGGCTCAGGAAGGACCTAGCATGGGATGGCAATAAAGGGTCTTAGTACCAAGCAAAGGTATTGATCTGCCTACACCCTAACCCATCGCTGGATCTTCACAGCCCGATGGGGTGTCATTCCTCCTTCAACCTTGCCTTCAAAGCAGAGCTTTGAGGTCTGGAACTCGATCTGCTGGGAGACTTCGTTTCAGCATGTAGTGGCATTTTGTACCGGAAAGTGCGAAGCTGCGGGTCTTAGTCTTGCTTGAGCTGTAGGACCTTGGGCGGATAACTTCATCTCAGTGAGTCATTTTCACCCTCTTAAAGAAAGGGCCCGAGGTCCTTTCCGCCTGGGGTATTCTAGCAGTCTGTGAGGGCCAGGGGCTATGGGAAGGGCACCGCCTAACACAGGCAGCCTGCTGGGAGCCAGACAGGAGTCCGCTGGGGAATCTTGGAGAACCCCTGTAAGCCCCTCTTCCTCAGTCATGTCTGCTGCCTGTGAGCCTGGGAAGAAGTGCTTTTCAAACTTTTCTTAGCCATGGCCGGGACTCAGCTGGTCAGAGGCATGGTTGCAGGTTCCATCCCCTGTCAGGGCACGTCCAAGAAGCAACCAATGAACACATAAATAAGTGGAACAACAAATGGATGTTTCTCTCTCTCTCCTCTCTCACACAAATCAGTTTATAAACACACACACACACCTTTCTTTAGTCAATTCAGATGTGTAGTGGTTAATAAATTGCGATGAAATGTAATGGCGTAATCAATAAATAAATAAATAAATAAATAAATAAATTGCGATGAGAAATTTAAGCTGTGTGCCAAGGAAGCGAACTGCTCTTTCCCCAGCCCCTCACAATCACAACCCGTCGTCTGCCAGAGGACTTTGAGCCCAGCTGGGGCCGCGGGGCGGAAGGCCTGGGGGAGGGGCGTGGCTCGCGCAGCAGAGCCCCTCGTTCTAACGACCCGGTGGGTCGGTGGAGAGTGGAAGGCAGAGAAAGTAGGAGCCCCGGCCTTCGTCACTGGCCTCCCCTTGAGCCCCACACGTCCAGCCCCATGGTCCCCGCCGCCGGCGTGCTGCTCTGGGCCCTGCTGCTGAGTCTGGAGCCCCCAGCGGCGGCGGGGGCCCAAGGCCTGACTTCACCTGGGACGCAGCCGGTCAGTTTCCGCTTGGGAGGAGGCACGATGACCCGCAAATACCGGACCACCCCCCGGACCGGCGTTCCCCCGAAGAGGAAGGTAATAATGGAGGATGATGAGGATGACATCGTGGCCAATGCTGACCGCTTGGCCGGCCCCGCTGCTGCCGAGCTCTTGGCCAGTACGGTGTCCACCGACATCAGCAGATTGCGTTCGTGGGAGCAAGGTGGGGATGGGTCTTTGGAGGAAGGAGTTATGATTAATGCCCAAAAGAATAACAGTAATTTAGAGGTCGCCGGTGCGATATCCAGCACTACAACGAAGTTCACCTCGAGGTTTGCAGCGAATATCCAGGAACCAGAATACAGGCTGACCACAAGCCTGACACCCTCCACCTGGAGATCTGAGAACCCCGAGCACCCACCCCTCTCGGACACCAGCCTGACCCGGTGGTCCACAGCAGGGTCCACTCCCAGACCCCGGACCTCAACTGCAGCCATGCCTCCTCCCGAAGACCTGAGGCTGGTGCTGATGCCCTGGGGCCCGTGGCACTGCCATTGCAAATCGGGCACCATGAGCCGGACCCGGGCCGGGAGGCTGCAGGGCCTTTCAGGGCGCCTTCGGGTAGGGGCACTGAGCCAGCTCCGTACAGAGCACCGTCCTTGCACCTACCATCAATGTCGCTGTGATCGGCATCTTGAGGAGTGCCCTCTGGACTCGGGTCCCTGTTCTGATGCCAGCTGCAGCAGTGGGACCACCACCACCACCACCACCACCACCAGCACCACCACCACCACCTTAGAGCCCCTCAGCACCAGACTGAGACCCAGCCCCCTGCACTTAATCAGCCCCAGCCCGGCTCTTGCGTTTTGGAGGCAGGTCAGGACTGGGCTGGAGGATATTTGGAACAGCCTCTCTTCAGTGTTCACAAAGATGCAACCAGTAAGTGTTTGGTGATGAGCCAGGATCTTTGATGATGGATCTGAAAAAGTCCTGATAGCCAAAACCCTGTTGCTAACCCTGTATGCCTCCTGTTACGGAGCTACTGAGACTCCTGCATTCTGGACACAGGGCAGGCAGGAGCTCAGTGTACTTGTATGAACTGTTACTTATGTTTTGTTACAGATTCATAATATTGATTGGTTTATTCACATTATTGTTGCCCAGGGATTCCACCTGTGTTATATCTTGAACAACTGGTTGGTTATTAGGCAACATGAATTATTGGTCATCAGATGGTAATTGACCAAATTGTTAAGATTGTAGATATGTAAAGAATTCGTGTTTTTTTTTTAGTGTTGTGGTGTTTTTTTCTTTTAATTGTTCAAGTACAGTTTTCTGAACCCTTGTAAATCATTCTTGATGCACAGATAATTAATGGACATGGAAGATAATTCTCAGCTTATTAATGCTTTAACAGTAACAACAGACAATATTTGAGGTCTTGCTGTGTGCATTTTACCAGGATCAGTCCTCCACCAACCCTATGAGGTGCTATTATCCTCACTTTACAGATAAAGAAATCAGGGTTTATAAAGCTACTAAGTGGCAGAGTCACAGCAGGATTTAAATGATGGCCAGGTTTGCCACCAGTGCCAATGCTCTTAACCACCATCCCCAGTAACTCTCCTGGGACTGTTCCCAGCAACCTAAGAATTCTCAAGGAAGGACAGTCCTTTGCTTTACCAAAAGAGCTACCAATTGCTGTGATTGACCTGATCAAATATTTTCAATCGATAGGATGTCAGGACCTTTGAGAGGAGAAGGATGATAAAATGTGTACATGGTCATTTTGCCGGTTTGTTTTTGTCTTTCTCCATGTGTCCAATGCCATTATTCAATATAAAAAAAAAGCATCAATAGGGGGCAGTAGTGTTGAGGGAATAAAGGTTTGTGGGGAGAGGGAGATGAAGGAAAAAGGAAATAGATGTGATTATAATATTTCCCCTTTTCTCTATTTTGTTTCCTTACTCAGATAGACAGAAACCGGAGGTAATGGCCACTTGATCTGCAAGAAGAGGTGCCAGCATCTCAACCCCTCCACCCCTTTCCATCCCAGCACCCACTGGGTATTTTTAGTACAGAAAAAACATTGTTTGGTCTTGTGTCTTTTCACAGAGTGATCTGAGGGATAGACCAAAAATCTTGTAAAATGAAACTGGGTAGCTAGCAGCATCTTCCCTGAGCCCTTCCCATCGCCCAGGATAAAATTTTGTTCATCTTCCTTATTTCCAAAGTTGGTTTTAAACAAGCACTTCTCTTGAGAAATCGCAGACGAGTGCCAAACAGGAGCTGAGCGCTTAGAAGACGATGGTGGTCTTGCCTTCCTAATGTTCAGTCTTCTTTTCTCCACAGAAAGGCAGTGACACAAATCCCAAGTCAGCCTCTTTCTAGGAGTTACCTTCATCAGCCAGATCTAACCCAACATACACCTGCAGTGATTAATTACTCTGTGACTATTTTGCTTAAACTTTTTATTTGAAAAAAATGTATTCAGAAGTCCAACAAATTTTCAATATAAATTATGACTCTCAAACCTATTCCCATCACTCTAAATACTGTGAAGTGACGGTAGCATCCACACTGGAGAAGTAGATAAAGGAGAGAGAGCACCAAAGAAAAGACTGTGTCCAAAGAATCAGCATAAGAATAAGGCTAAAAGTCAGGGTGATGAGAGATTCCTGGAGCTGTCATCTTTCTACCCTATCTTGTCAACCTTTTAGATCTAGTAAAACCCTCGTGCTATTGAGCTACTTAAGGGCAACGGGATGAGCTACTTTCAAGAGCAGCTACCTAGACTGGAACAGAGTAAACTGGAAATGTATCTCTATGAGCAATCTCAGACCCTGAAAAACTTCAGGAAATACCTTGAAACTTAAAAAAATTAGAGCCTCAGTCACTGTAGACGGGGGCAAACTGTGTGGATGGTGGACTCAATAGAGCGGACCCTCTGTTCCCATGTTCCTGACCCCCCACTACCATCCAAACAGTACGCCTCCTGTTACAGAGCTACTGAGACTTCTGCATTCTGGACACAGGGCAGGCAGGAGCTCATCAGCTCTGTTCTGCCTTCCTAATCTCCGGGCAAGGAAGGGGCCAGAACAAAAAACACCTGAGAAAACAAAGTGCCTAAAGACCCTGCTCCTCCATTACTTTCCCACCTAAAGCAGACCCTTCGGCCAGGTGAGGAGTGGGACCTGTTCTTCAGACAATACTCCCTGAGTCTTACTTGTGTCTGATTCCACAAATAGGGCCCAGAAACAGAGCTTAAAATTTAAATTTGGGGAACACAGTGCTGGGGTGTCTATGGCTCTACTGCTTTTCTCCCCCTCCCTTCCCCAATGCCACCCAAGGGTTCTGCAGGAACCCCTCCTCCAGAGAGCAAGAAGGCAACAGCATAGTACTTGTCCATCGCAGAGAAAACCCCTGCAAGCACAAGCAACACAATGAATAAAGAACTGTTTGGAGATGATGTGCGGCCCTATTAAGCCTACTTTACAGAGGGTCTAGTTCATCAAGTCTCAGGCTTAGGATGAACAATGGGATGGGGGTAGGGAGAGGACAGAGAAATCACTTAAGAGAAAAATATGTTGACTCTGGAGCAGTGGCTCTCAACCTGGGGTGATTTTGCTCCCTAGGAGGCAGCTGGCAATGTCTGGGGACATTTTTGGTTATCACACCTAAGTATGGTATCTCTGGTGGGCCAGAGATAATTGCTAGCAATCCTATGATGCACAAGTCAGTCCCCCACTCTTAAGAATCACCCAGTCCAAAGCATCAAGTGTCTGGATTGAGAAACCTTGCTCTATGGGTCTCCTTGCTCCCAGGCTGTGAGAATCTTAAGATTCCTAAACTCCCAGAAGATTGTTTTCAATCACCTTCCATCCTCATTGGTCAGGAAAGAAGTCCACCCTGAGGCATAACTCCTGGTGGTGCTGCATTCTGGGTCTCTCTCCAGATCCCTCTCCCTCCTCTCACCTGGGTCAGCAGGGAGGTTAGCAGAGCGCAGGCCAGTTCCTCAGGGCTTAAGTGGAATATCATCAGGTTAAGATCCATCTCTCACCTTAACTCTTACTCAATGGGAAACAGTAAGGTTCTTAACAGGGATGGTGTTAAGATGTAACAGAGGTAACAGCAGGGTGGGGGTAATTAAGAGAACTCAAATTAAAATTTTAATTTAAAAAAAAGGAAAGATACTGGGGAGTTAGCAATGCTACAGAATCAGAGTTAGAGGTCTAACTAGAGAAAGACGCTGGTATTGGCAAGAGAGATATTGAGGAGCTTGAGCTTCAGGCCTGAGATTCAGAGAGTAGACTAGGAAGAGGTCACCACCCCAGCCCCTGCTTGACATCTGCTTCAGTTCATTCCAGGAGGAAGGAGGGGGGCAGGGAGGTAGGGAGCTTCTCAAAAAAGCCAGCTTCAGCTTGGTAACCTCACCCACCTGCCATTGAAGGAGTTCCAGGTTAATAGTTTAAAAACAGGTGGCACCCAGACCGTCATTCAGGAGAAGGGACCTCATTCCAGGTTTCCAGAAACTCCTATTTCAGATCTG